CTTGTGAGCTCCCAGTTTGTCAACTGAGGTTGTGTTCGTTCTTCGCCCTATGTCTTTTCCTGCTTCCACCACCGATAATTTCTACAAGTTTTCGTCGTTGTATCGATAGGTTCGACTGACTTGATTAATCTTCGTTGGAAACTTGAAAACTTTCCTCCCCCTATCGTTGATGGCGCCCAGAGAGATGAATTTCATCGGAGAATTACCTGATAATGCAAGGTTGCCTCTGAGGGTACACTCAGCCTCAATGTAAGCGAAGAAGGATCACGCACAGGGTGATTATCGGGTAATCTCGAGCAACTAATGTCTGAAATATTCATGAATAATAGGCATCGGCGTAGTGATTTGTCTCTTCCCTGACTTACCACTGCATGATCGAGAAAAAGAACGATATAATGACAACTACCTAGCTTACTCGAACAGGAATTTGTTAGTTCAGGAACTGTGCGCCAAACAGATCTCACCATTGTGTTGACTGAGGTCGAGCTTTGCAGAGACACGGAGGGGGCTGTTAAGCTTTCCCCGATAACCAAAAAAAACCACCGTAATGGTGAGTATTGACGGTTCATCAGTCACAGTTCCAGAGATCGAAAGTAAACAAGTCAAAGTACCTCGTCAACGTGACCGCCGTATTGAATGTATCCATGCCCGCAGGAGCTTGTAGGCTTATGAATACACGTGAGGAGAATAAACAATCGTGATATCTGCTTAGCGATTCACCACGACGAATAGACCATTGGAGCAAGAAAATCTTCGCGAGGGGCGGATAACAATACCTCAGAGTGTTCTCGTTACTCGGGCAATTGTATACCCATGGTCTTACAATCCCTATATCGAGGTTTGGGGTATATTTCATCTTACTATTTTCGAGAGGCTTGGACAGTGTCTGAACAAGAACAAAAGAGTGACTGTGTTATGGCAAAGTGGTATACAATATACAGACTCGCTACCGGTCGCCCTCTGGTCGAGGGTGTTGATACATCCCCCACTCAAACGTGTTTTAGTGATCCGTTAGAGAACTTTGATCAACACCCACGAAGCCAACAATGATTTTGACGTCACCTCCTAATCCTCCTCCTCCTCGTTCTCATCCTCTTCTTCATTGTCTTGCCTAGCAGTAACACCTTCAAGTGGGAACCATAGTCAGTGTGTGTGAGAGAATATAGAGATTGTCAGTGTATACCACGTTTGTTCCCGCTAAAAGTTAGAAGGATGTATTGAGTATCAACTTAGTTGAAGCTAGGAAATAAGAGGACTTACCCAGTGACCCCGCCAAGCACACCAGTAACCCCACCAAGCCCGCCAGTGGCCCCACCAAGCCCACCAGCCCCGCCAGTGACCCCGCCAACCGCACCAGTCACGGTGCCAATCACGCCGGTCACCCCGCCGAGTCCGCCGCCGAGCTGCCTAGCAGCCACGTCTACGAGAGGAAACTACGGTCAGTGTTTACGTCCGGAAAGATTGGAAGTATATACCTTCATTGTTGCGTCGTCTATATAGATCAACGTACCAGAGTCGGTGTGAGTGTAGCTGGAACTGAGAAAATGAAACAACTTACACGGGAAGCCCGCCAGCCCCGCCAGTTAGCCCACCAAGCGGGCCAGTGACCCCACCAGCCCCACCAACCGCTCCACCAAGTCCACCACCGCCAGTGACCCCGCCAAGTACACCAGTCACAGTGCCAATCACGCCGGTCACCCCGCCGAGTCCGCCGCCGAGCTGCCTAGCAGCCACGTCTACGAGAGGAAACCACGGTCAGTGTCAATGTCAGGAAAGGCTGGAAGTCTATACCTTCGTTGTTGCTTCGTCTATGAAGATTAACATATCAGAGTCGGTTTGAATTTAGCTGAAACTGGGAAAATGAAACGACTTACCTCGTCAGGCCGCCGGTCCCCCCACCAAGCGGGCCAGGCAGCCCACCAACCCCACCAACCGCCCCACCAAGCCCACCAGCCCCGCCAGTGACCCCGCCAAGTACACCAGTCACAGTGCCAACCACGCCGGTCACGCCGCCGAGTGCGCCACCGAGTTGCCTGGCAGCCACGTCTACGAGAGGAAACTACGGTCAGTGTTTACGTCCGAAAAGATTGGAAGTATATACCTTCATTGTTGCGTCGTCTATAAAGATCAACGTACCAGAGTCGGCGTGAGTGCAGCTGGAACTGAGAAAATGAAACAACTTACACGGGAAGCCCGCCAGCCCCGCCAGTGACCCCGCCAAGTACACCAGTCACGGTGCCAACCACGCCGGTCACGTCGCCGAGTCCGCCGCCAAGTTGCCTAGCAACCACATCTACGAGAGGAAACCACGATTAGTTTCTACGTCCGAAAAGATTGGAAGTATGTACCATCTGTGCTAGAACTACGAAGTAGCGACATGTCAGGGATAGCGTAGTTGAGAGTGGGGAAAGTGAGGACATACATCTCGCGAGGTATAACTCCAGCCAAAACGGCCGGAAGTACGGTTGTGAAAAGAGCGAATTGCTTGAGTTGCATTGTGAGTCCACGAAAAGAAAGTATCGGTGAGTAAGGATGATGGGAGACAGAGGGTGTGGTCGACACCCTCTTTATACGCACCCATGGCTACGCCCAAACCCCACTTCCGACAGTTTCGTTATTATTTCGAGATGGTGAGGGACAGAAAGGGGACTGTGGAGGGGTTTGGAGGGGCGTACGGGGTCGGATCGTATGTTTGATTAAGCACGTTTCTGTCGTTTCTGTATTGAAGAAGTTCTAACTAACATTCGATCCTTCAATCAAAGGCAAAGAAGTAATCACAATGTGTGGTTAAGGTCTAATTGAGGTGCTGTTGTCAAACCGTAAGTTAATCCCCGCTCTGTCAAATCTACAACGTCGAACAATAATGAAGGTCAAAGCCTATATCATGAGTATGCCAAAAATAACAGCAAAATAACAGCAATACTACGGAAGATCAACCTCGGGTAACCTCAAGCGAAGTGTGTCGCCGCCATCAGCACCACCAACACTACCACATGTGGCCAGAGTTCGTACGTTGAGTAACCGTTGTACTTGCTCGGGAGTTTGTTTGGGTAAAACGGACGAGAAATTTGCCAACACGGTCATCAAGACGGAATTTTGGGAAAGGAAGGCGCTCGGATGTAGCTGTATGTTCCCTCGCTCCGAGAGACAAACAACAGCTGGTATGATCGGTGTTGCGTGGCATCGCTGAGGCGCATCTCAGCACCACCAACGCCACCACACGATATTAATCACGTAGCTGTAGTCCATACGTTGAGTAACTGTTGTATATTCTCGGGAGTTTGTTGGGGCAGGTAACATGGACGAGAAACTCCCCAACACGTTGATCAAGACGAAATTTCAGGGGAGGAAGGCACTCGGATGTTGTTGCACTCTCCCACACCCCAAGAGATAAACAACAACCACTATGGTCGGCGTTGCATGGCACGGCTGTGGGAGGTGCATCTCAGTTCATGTATATATTCGTGGATAGAGTGGAGATACTACCGTAATTCAAAAGTAAGGTCTCTTGTGTTGGATGAACAGTGGATTGACCAGTCACGACGGTGTCTTGGCTCGACTCATATATCGCCTGGGTCAGACGTTATCCCAAAGAATGAACGTTATTGAGCAAGGAGAGGACTCGGATATCAAGATAGACGCGGTATGGGCCTTTGTGCCAATCGAGGATGCGTGTACGGCAGCGCAAGTGGGGGAAGGAGAGGGGTTGTGGGGCTCGGGAGGGTATATGAATCGCCGATGTCAAGCGCAAATTGTGAATTACGGCACTCAAACCTGTACGAGTTGCTCGAGTTGTTCGTCGGCGGGCTAAGAATCACGATAATTCCTGAACGATATTTCGTATGCGCATCAGATCCACCCGCTTCCAAAGCAAAAGAAACCGATCTATGCACCTGACTCCTCTAATAAAGCAACCGACTACTCAGCATCTTCCATCAGACCTCCAAGACTGATGCAACTGAGGATTGGACTTTTTGCGCCGGACCTATTCATCGATTCGTCAGGGGAGGTCGAATTGAGGGGCGGTTAAAAACGCACCTCCAAGCCGCGAGGATCCATCCTCCGGCCAAGCGACGCTATTACCAGTCAGTGTTGCGACGTCGAAGGGGGATGTTTGATTGTTCTCTTCAGGTATCGTGAGTGGTGCCGACGATTGTCCTTCCTACGACGTCACCAGCGGTTGCGCAAAGCCAGTCAACGCGTCTGATTCTGACCGGCGCGGAACAAAACTGGGTCAGACACAAAGGCAAAAAGTAACCGATACACAATATCCACACGATAGCCATTTTTTGCAGTGAAACCACCCAATCTCTCAGGCATCCGTCCAGCTATTCTCCGACTCGTATGTGTCGCCCATCCGGATTCCCATGTTCGAGCCTTAGATAGGAAGAAACCCTTCCAGTGTTGATTTGCAGCGGAAAAGCCAGTTTATTGCCTGATAAATATCTTGAGAGTTGTGGAAGTCATGACCAGGGTCGAATATCAAGACAACTCGAGGCCAAGGAGAAGGGATCATGGAGGTTGTAATCAGAGCGCGTCAAACCCTAACCCATAGACAAGGTCAGGCACCAAACACACGATCTCGGGCTTGCCGGCCTGGCGGTCTCTTCAATAAGCGCCTTGAGGTTTGACTGCACAAGTCGGAAATTTGAATACGTATCTCGATACTGTTAGCGTGAGCCTCCGTGCTTGATAGGCGAATAAGTACGTCGCTCTGCCCGCCTCTATTGTTCCGTTTCTCTAGTTATGGATCAACGAAGCCTTGAAGGATACTTCTACTCTTCCGTGAAGTGCGGGGTTCCCCACCATTAGGAGCACAAAACTAAACAAGAGTAGTGGCTTTTGTCCACAGACGAAATAGACTAACGAGCTGGGAGCTTACTGGAAGCAGTCTCACAAATCAGAAAACCAACCCGTCATCGATACCTGGGAATAAACAAGACACTCGAAATACCCCCTCTCGAAGTCATTGGAATGCGTGCGATTAACAATCTTTCAGATCCCTGGTAGTATATCGGTTAGTACACGCGCCTGTCACAAAATCGTCGGACCGTTGCGCGCGAAAGCTGGGTTCGACTCCCAGCCAGGGAGTGGCGCGGTTAATCGCATCTCATTTTTGAATTTTGAGTCGCGCCACGGCCTTCCATCCATCCGGTTATTACTCAACCATCGATAGAAGAACCTCATTTTTTTTCAAAAGTTGTGCGTACCTTAATGATAACATCCCTTCAAATATGAACGGACCTTGTTCGAATGACCGAATAGCGCTACAGAAGATCCATGATTAGGTTTCTTGGATTCCTTGTGCCCTTCGGCGGGCTAAAAAGTATGTGATCAACTTACCCGAGGGCCGAGCATCCCCCGACTCTACTCTCTACGTCGTGTATGCAATACCAGAATAGACGCCAGAGTAAAGCAAAGTACCTACCGTTGTGTGATCCTGAGCCCCAGATGCAAGTTGTGTTGAATCTTCATTCGATTTTCTTCAGATAAATCAATTATGATCGCCTCCGATTTGTTTGCACCGATTTCGATATAGATTCAGTTCATATACCCATTAATGGTGTAGACTGTAATTGTAGGCCCTGTCGCCCAGGGTAGCAAGCTGACACGCGTCAGCTTAGCAGCAAACTCTGAAGGGCGCCCTATGTTGTTGTTGTTGGAACAATGTCCTACAGAGTAGTATTTATAATGAAATCAAACGTCAATGTACACACTGAATAAACTATCCTCAAAAACATCCCGTCCCGTTGACCATTTAAAATCCGTATTGAATATAGAGCGCGTTAGACAACTGCAGACTGCCCGCTAGCAAAGACGAACTTCTCTTGCAGGCCCTCGGATCGTCAATTGGGAGGTGGGGACGTTTCCTCTATTGATGCCACTAGTTGCTGGGTTCTAAGAAGAACCAATTTGAGAATCTCGATGTATCCCAATAATACATCGGCATCTATTATACCCCTGGCGGCAACACCTATCAAAAGGAACCACGATCAATGTCACTGACATGGATATAAGATAAGTGGTCGGGGTGTACCTTCTTTGTCGCTTCGCCTAAAATGAATAAACATATCAGTATTCGCGTGGTCGAACGTGGGATGAAATAATTCACCCAATCAGCTCCGACAAGCCCTGTAAGTCGCCCAGGGTGGGCAGATCACTGATTTGCTTATCGGACAGACCTACGGGAGGTCGAAGCCGTGATCAGTCCCCGTGCTAACAGATAAGGATTGTAAATACATACCTTCACTGTTGCTCGGACTACAAAGCCTCGACGTGTCAGTGCCGCGTAATCAAAACTGGGGAATAGGGCGACTTACATCAACCGAGTAACATTGACCTTTGAGGCTGGGTCGGTGTCCGAGACACTGCCAAGCACAACACCGGCCCAGACAGCGGGAAGAACGGCTGCAATAAGAGCGAGCGACTTGAACTGCATAGTGATTCACGGGAGAAAATCTCGGTGGGGGTTGATGAGCAATAAAGGGGGTGTTCGATGGCCTTTATGAGCACACAAGGGCAATTTCTGATACTAGTGCCGTGATAATTAATGGTAGAAAAGGAAGAGGGGACTATGGAGAGAATTGAAAGGGTGTACTGTGTCGGATCCGCAATCAGTAACTCTGACTGGGCAAGGCCAAATTCCCTCTGTCGCTGGATACATTGACCAAGTTGAATTATGAGAATTCAGTTTCACTCTTGCGAAGCACCGAGCCGAATAGATGGTCGGAGCAGAATTCAGACCTTGGTATGCTGAACGCTCCATTCGCAATCCAAACATGTCAAAATCCATAAAATCCACAACCTTCAGTTGTACACGCCAGAAAGGTCTTTGCGACTAGGTGTTGGCCAGCCCCTAAGAAGTATATTGCCGCATCCACCACCGCCGCCGCCATGTGAGTGAGTATATTACATCAGAGACAGTGAGCATTGACGCCCACAGCTCCGCTAAACCTGCCTCAGTCATAGGCTCAGTGAACGAGCTTGAAATAGTTAGACTGTCTGTGTAGCACTCGATCGCAGTTTGTTAGGGCAGGTAGTATTCACGAAGTAGTAATGATATCATTGCCCAATGCCAAACTGCCAATCGGGATCGAGTCTCTGTAAGGGGGGAATCTCGGACGCTATTGGAATCTCGCGCGCTCCGTCCCATCTTGAGTGATCATCAATATACTACTAATCATTCAAGGTTCATTTCTACATGGAGACAGGTTCCACAAATCAATACTTCAACCACTGCGGCGCTTGGGAACGTTTCTACTCCGCGCAGCTCGAGTACTATATAATCTGGAGCAGACGACACTGATTGAACTTGGGAGTGAAACGAGAAAGGATTTGATCAGGGTTACAGTCCTGTAGCTTCAGTGTCCCTTAGTAGCATAGCCAGTTGGAGATGGCAGCCACAAACTCCGGGTCCCTCAACCGGTATTATGAAAAAGTTTACATCTCGATGAAGCAAGCAAAGTAGGCGTGAAGATGGAGACTATAGGTAGGTATCAAAACCCGAGTTGGAGAGCGAATGAAAACCCTTGATTGGGAACGAGGAATGAAAATATACACGCCCTAATACCCCCTCCATTCGATTTGCATGGTGACTCATGAAGGAAAGATTCGGTGGATATTGACGAGAGACGTGGGGCGATTTTTCAATTTCGGTTCCGAAATGCGCAGATCCTTTTTCCTTTTTCTCGACCCACATCCCCAATGAACTGGGATGTATAGCTAATATCGGCCTGATTATCGGGCATGCGTACGCTTCCGTCTACTCTCCAGATACATCTTCTGGGGGTCCCGTGGCCAACGGCGTAGTGATGAGTCTTCGAGAATACCCCCGTTTACTCTAAGAGGCCCTGAGGAACGGTGCAACACACAAGTCGACGCAATCTCCCTCCACATCGACTGCGATTCGGTTGGTAAGGTGTTTGTCTCCATACATCTCATCCTCGGCGAAAGCCACGATTAAGCCTCTTCTACATTCTCAGCGACGTAGGCGACCCCCTTACCCCTGCCTTGAGACGGATGAGTCTTATTTAGTTGGCTGTGCTCTACTTCGCAGGTTGTAGATAAAGGTGGTGAGCGTAGATAGTGGCTCCGGAGTCCGCCCATTCGGTGGATGTTTCGGACATTTTGCGGGAGGGGGTGGGGCGCGTTCGAGGGGTGGTCGTAGGTGACTTTGGAGGTGGTCGATATGGCCTCGAAGATGTTTGATGGGACTCGGAGTCCTCACCTAACCGTTCTTGGTTTATTTTTATATCTCATCTTCCCGGCTTGTGCCATCCTTTTGCATAGGGCTATAAAAGTACGTCTGTTTACTCGTCGTTTTCAAGTTGTGCTTGTTCTTCGCCCTTTTACTTCCCACCTTCCACCGCTGGTAGTTTCTCCAAGTTCTCGTCGTTGTATTGATGGGTTCGACTGACTGGATGAACTTCGTGGGAAATTTGAAAACTTCCCCTATCGTCGCTGGTTTTCAGTTAGATGAATACCATCTTGACTTAGGTCGATTCTGGCAGAGATACGGAAACGGCTGGGCGAGTATTGACGGTTCGATTTTGCCGTGGTGATTTCAGCATCCGCCTCCTGATCCTCTTCCTCCTTCGCATCCTCGTTCTCATCACCTACCAGTGAAAACCATGATCAGTGTGTGGGTGAGATCTACTGCGGAACTACACGGAACTGACCACAGAAGTGTTGTAAAGTTGAGTACGTCGTCACTACCTTCCAAAATTGGTTATCTGTTATTTCTGGATAGTGATGATTATCCATGTATATCAGCACTCCGAAGCACTCGTTCTATCTGCTTTTGTCGTTGGGCTCGGTCGAGAGATCTTTGAATCCAGCCCGGGAAATACCGAAGTCGGTTCTCACGCATTTCTTAACCCAGTCTAGTAGGTTGGCCCCGAGTGCTTTGGTTATCTGATGGCTCCGGCGAAACTATAAAGCTGAGTGGTACACCCTAGGAGGCTGATAGGTCATCTGAAAGAGTTATCACTCTTCTCTTAGCACATTCACGGCCATATTTATCCCACTCATCACACCCGTCTTGACTAGTCACTGACTGAACACGGAACTGGCACGGACCTACTACAAACCTACCACAGAACTATCAATAACCGCGAACTATCTAGTAACCTTCACTAAATTACAGAAATCCGACGGTCTGAGCCTATTGGCTTTCATGGAAGAGTTGCAACTGACCGCCACTAAGTTACCACGACCCACCACGGAACTCCCACGGGCCGGCCACGGAACTCTCACCGAGTTTGCACCCCACGACGCCTGCTACGGAAATTTCTCTTTGCCCCTCGACTGCGAAGTATGAACGCGTCAGTGTCATAGTCGAAGCTGGTGAATGAGTCGACTTACCGCGCCAGCCCTCCAAGAACATCTTTGGCCTGATCAACGGCGTCACCGACTTTGTCTTTGGCCCCATCAACAGCGTCAGTGACTTTGTTTTTGGCGTCCCCAGCAATGTCAGTGACTTTATCAAGCCCGCCAGCTCCCCCAAGCAAGCCTCCCGCGGCGCCGGTCAAACCTTCGAGCTGCCTAGCTACCAGGTCTGCGAGAATCGGAATCATGGTAAGCTTGCGTGCCAGGATTCCCAAATGGTGAATATATACCTTCTTCGTTGCTTCGACTACCAACATACCAAGTATGTTGTGTCAGCGTCATTGTAGTTGCAGCTGGGGAATGAGCCGACTTACAGCGCCAGTCCGCCAAGAACGTCTTTGGCCTGATCAACAGCATCACCGACTTTATCTTTGGCCCCGGCGACAGCGTCACCGACTTTATTCTTGGCTTCCCCAGCAATGTCAGTGACTTTATCAAGCCCGCCAGCTCCCCCAAGCAAGCCTCCCGCGGCGCCGGTCAAACCTTCGAGTTGCCTAGCTGCCAGGTCTGCGAGAGATTGGAAATGGTCAGTCTGCGTGCCAGGATCCAAATAGTGAATATACCTTCTTGGTTGCTTCGACTACCAAATATGAATGTGTCAGTGTCATTGTAGTCAAAGCTGGTGAATGAGTCGACTTACCGCGCCAGCCCGCCAAGAATGTCTTTAGCCTGATCAACAGCGTCACCGACTTTGTCTTTGGCCC